AACTTTATTTTATCATATTTTGTTTTGGGAACAAATTCCGCAATTCTTTTAAATCAAAAGGATTTACTCTGAAATTATTGTAAAAGCATAAATGAACCCGGTCTTTTCTGGCCGTGATTTTAAGGATGTCACATGACAACCTATAAATAACTAGCTCTTGACTCACACCATGAGTACAATTTTAGGTTAAAAGACCTTTTTACCCTTCCTCAAACTCATCCTAAGACTAAGGCCCAAACTAGAAGACCAAAAGCCCAAGATCCAAAATAAGCCTCTAAGGCCCAATTATGGCCCAATTTTCCAAATTGGGCCCAATCCCTTTCGTGGCCTTCACTCAAGAAAATCCAACAAGACAAAAGCCCAAACCATAAAATCTAGATGGCCCAACATCACCCAAGGCAAACCGAGTCCATAACTAAAGCCCAATACAATGAAGCCTACGACAGTAGCGTATGCGGGGCGTACACCGGAGGTACGCTCAATGTACACAAGACCTCGTATTGACCAAGATAGGGGGAGGTTGACCAAGTACGCGGGGCATATGCTAGCTAAGCCCAAAACCAAGATAAGTGCTTAATAGCTTGTGCACTTAAGCCCAAACTTCAGATCCATGGTCCAAATGTACTCCAGAATCATAAAGTCTCAAACTTTAAGACTTTAGACGTCCAAAAATCCCTTATTACATGGTATTAATCCATTAAGACCTTCCACGAAGAACATGGAGCCAAACTAGCTCAAGGGACCTCATTTTTATAGCTTAGAACCCTTCCTGGGGTCTGAAAGGACAGCTCAAGTCATCCAAAACAAAGCAGCCACAATATTGGGACTTTTGAGAGAAGAAGAGTACCAAAAAGCTAACAAAACAAGATCCACACAATACAAGCACAAAGGCAGAAGCTTTTTACCTTCTGGAGCTTCTAAATGACAAGATAATCCCAGATCTACAAGCTTGGTTCACTCTCCAAACACCTTGATGCAACTTCTTCTTCTTCAACCAAACAAGAAACACACTCTTAGATCACACACAAATACACCAAAAGAGAAGCTAGGGTTGCCAAGAAACGATCTTAATACTTAGAGGCTAAAAGGATGGGTAAAGGGTCCATAATGGGGTTTAAATATCCAACAAACCCTAAAAGTTCGGGTTGCACTCTAACATACGTACGCCCTGCGTACATATGCGTACGCCCTGCATACTCATATGTACACCTAGCGTACTCCTCATGCTCCATAAGTTACTTCTTTGCCACTAGGGCTTCCCAAGGCCCCTTCATTCAATTCCAAGGACCAAAAGTGACATAAATAAAACCCAAGTGATGGATTTGATATCACTTGAAAATTGGGGTGTTACAAAATATTAGCTTGGTAAATTCTTCCTGGCTAGTACGATCCTTTCTTTTCCTTCCTACACGTGTGGAGTTGATCGTATTTTATTTATAACATGAGGTGCATGGGAAGAACGATATAAATAGAATGTGATAAATAATTTGAATGACCAAAAAATATTTATAGCAAGGTTAATATTTTACAACTTGTAGTGACAAATTAGAATATTATGTCCAATGTTTTTAAAACCGATTCGAACCAGGAAACGGGGACGAGAGCAGTTCAACAACAATCGGTTTTATGTTAATTTTTAGACCGGTTCGAAACGGATGGTTTCTTAAAATATTAGGTTGAACCGGTGTGATAGATACATCAAAAAAAAACGTTTGAACCGATTTATTGGATTTGGATAGTTTGAACCGGGTTTATTGGACTTGGATAGTTGGATTTCACTTAGCTCATTAAGGTACATATCAAATAAAAACTGGTTATAATAGATGGCATTTGGCCACCGTTTTTGGTCGTTGCACGACTTGTCACGGCTTTTTTCATGCTAGAAACTTCAATATAAGATTTAATCACTTAATAACCGATACAAGGTAAAGGTACATACAAGAAAGAAAAAAACTCGTTAGTAAAAATGACATTTGGCCACCATTTTCGGTCATGGTACGACTGGTCACTTTTTTATGTAAAACCGATGTTAATGTCGAAAGTTTGATTTGCAATGGTGACTCGTTTTCAGTAAAATGTCATGGAAACAAACATGTAAATTACTTTATGAATTTTAGTGGTGAGAAATATAAAAAACAAGAACATCTAGTTTTCAAAAACCGACGTCATAGCCCAATTTTGTACTAGTGTGAAAAAATAAATACTCAAAAACAAATAATGTGACCTATAAATACTAGTTTTGTAGATCATATTCGTAATTGTGAAGTATAAGAGCCGATTCAACCTTATGATTTTGTGACCGATCCCTCAAATATATTATTTTCTTTACCTAATGTTGATAGATTTGAGACAAAAAAATGACTATGGTTTTCATGAACCTAATTCCCAATGTAGTGAAGATGGTCTTATCGAGTCCTTAAGTGATGTTGGTGATGATTATGACGACACAATATGTTGCAATGAACTGCAATATATAATTCAACCATCATGTATGTGGTGTCTCTTTGGTAAACATGACAGTTATACACAAAACCATACTTTATCCGAATTCAACTACAATGAATGTGTCTACAGAATTGTCACCAAATTACTGATAGATGGAACCAGAGGAAATACCCACACCATCCGTTATTTTCAAAATCTTTATACATGTGGTAAGTAGCAGATAGAAAGATTTACATGTTCACATGCTCTCGTAGTTTGTCGGATTAGAGTGAATGACCCTCTTTTCATTATATATATATATATATATATTATATATATATATATATATATATATATATATATATGGACTTTCCCTAGTTCCTCACTTTGATTACTGGTTGGAGGTTGTTTGGGAGATTACGACAGATTACTCAAAATGTTCGGTTGGTCGAGGTCGGAGACGTACAAATCGATTTCATAACAAGATAGACGTTCGTCATCCCGATGAATCTCATAGATGTGGATTATGTCATCAACCTGGCCATAATAGGAAAAATTATTCAAATTCTCAACCAAAATTCAATACGAAGTGAACTATGTAATTTTTATTATCTTGTATTTTTATGTTTAATTTATTTTGTAATTTTGTGTTTAAGTTATCTTGTGATTTTGTGTTCAATTAATTTTGTAATTTTATGGCATTGTAATATATTCAATTTGGGTATAGGTTTCAATGTGTTGATTTGATTTTTCGAATGGTATAATTTGCTAAAAGTAAACAATAAATTTCAATTTTATATTTTTAATAATAGAATTTATATATCATATCTATAGTTAGGTGATTATAAATTACGTGATTATAAACTAGAAGATTGAATTCGGTGATTATAAACTAGAAGATTAAATTAACAAACATTTAAAATAAATGTAAGTTTTTTAGCATAAAAGATGTAAAATAAAAATAATGAAAGGGTTAATATGTAAAATTAAAAATTCAATAGGACTGGTCATTTGTTTTTTTGTGGGGATATCTTAAAAACAACCAATTTTGCAAATGAATTTGGAATCAACCCATTGTTTACAATGGTTTTTCAAAATCAACCATTATTTACAAATAAAACTCTTCGGGTATGGATGGGTTCAACCAACTTGGGTCGACATTAGACAGTCACCTCACGTTAATGTGCAATGGAGATCACCATCTTGATCTCCCAAAGACCCTGTCCAGGTAAACAAGTTTTCCATGCTCCTACCCTCACTTTTTATACAACAACCCAGACTCCGTTTTCTTTCTTCAGCCTCCAATGTGGGATCAATTTCACATGCATGTAGATTGTAGAGTTCCGTTCTCCTATCCTCTGGGCAAAAGCCTGGCTCTAAATCACCATGTTTCAATTAAGATCATATGAGTAGGGACCTATCCAATGTTGTGATTAGTCTAGTTATCCAGAACATGAATAGATGCAACATTCGAGTGGTGTTGAAAGCAAATACAGTAAACATTTCAGGTTTCAATTGTGCCTAGGCCTGGTTGATCAATAGGGTAGGTCCACACCAAAATTTAAGATTAAGATAAAGTTGATTCTTTCAATTGGGACTTGGTTTCTATACTCACTGCCATCTTGTTGTATGTAATGTAATCTTCTCTCGCACAATGTGGAAGCGAACCTTCACCTCCGTGATGCTAGAAACACAAGCACTGCTGACTTCAGTATCCTGTATAATTAAGTTTAGCGATTGTGTGTGTAATTTAAGCCTGGAACGGAACAGTTTTAAAAAAAGCTTTCATAACTAAGAAATTTTAGCGTTTTCCAATAAAGGAAAACCCTTCCAGAAATTCTCGATAGCCAAGGGAGACCCAAGGCCAAAGAGGGGGTTTGGAAATAGTTTTCAACCAGCAATTGACGCGCCTCGGTTATTACCTCATTAGCTGCGTCATTGCCCCAAGCGCAAAGATACTTCTAAAAGACGCCCACCCCACCTTTTATCCTAACCCTCTCCTTCAGCAGCCTCTGCATTTCTACCGATGTGGGATTAACAAGGTTCTCTAATTTCTCCCTCTATAATACATAAGTGCATCCCTGCTCACTACAAAAAAGCTCAATATGATTTCTTCTTGGCCAAGCTCCAACACACAAAAAAAGCTTCCCTGCCCACTACTGAAAAAATAGATAGATTTGACCGGTTTCTCCCAAACCGGAGTCAATCTAGTCTGATCCGGTTTTTGTATAAATTTATTTATTTTCCTGTTTTAAATTAGTTAAACTTTATGCGTGTAAGTTACCTAATTTATCCGATCCAAAAATGCTGAATTTAACATGCTATGTTATATTATTTTTTACATCCTGATCAAATACAAGAAAGGTGATACCAATTTGGAATTATCAATGTCTTTGTTTAATAATCAAAATATTGATACATTTTCTGGATGAAAAAAAAAAACCCTGAAAGTTAAAGAGGGTCCGTTTCCACTTTCCACCTCTAGTCAAAGTTGTATTTCAAAATAACGTTAAAATAATATTTGGTGGGCCATGAGGTGGTTGCTGCTTTCTTTCTGCGAGTGTGATGTCTCCGCCTCCCCTTCATCTATAACTCTATAAGACAAGCTCGCTTTTGTTAAATTCAATATCTTTGAATCAACCGCCGGAAGCTTGAAAAATGGCTGACAAAGAAGGAGAAAAACATGTGGAGGAAGGGAAAATCCCACTTCTCACTCCCTACAAAATGGGTAAATTCGAGCTTTCTCACAGGTGGTTTATGTTCTTTTGTTGTCTGAATTCATTAAGTTGAAAATTACCTGATTCGTTAGTGTGTGTTGTGTTATGTTAACTTATACAGAGTTGTTTTGGCACCTCTAACAAGGCAAAGATCCTATGGGAATGTCCCTCAGCCACATGCAATCTTATATTACTCACAAAGAACAACAAAAGGAGGCCTTCTTATTGCAGAAGCCACTGGTGTTTCCGACACTGCCCAAGGGTATGAAAATTGCAATATTTCCCATTCTTGACAAATTATAAACTTAAAAATTACATGTTTGCCCATTGTGTCATCATATTAATTACTTGTTATGTCACTGGTTTTGATTCACGAGATTTCTTTTTTGGTCATTTTTGAGAGTATGTAATGTAACACATTCTATAATAATAGTCAAAACAAATTTCATAAAACTTAGTGCTCTGTTAAACTAAGTAACAACTTTTTCCAATTTAAAGTTAAAACAATCGCTTTCAACATTGTTCCATCATTATCACATATGGTTAAACGCAAGAAATAACAATTTTCACTTATTATGTCCATTATTTTGCTTTGCAAGATTTCCTTATTTTGACATCATTGGAGGGTATTTAAGATAATTGACTAATGGTCAAACAATTAAAAGTTTATTGTTTATGATGGAGAGAATAGTTTTGTTGATAAACACATTTGTTTATGTTTAAGGTATCCAGAAACACCGGGTATATGGACAAAAGAACAAGTAGAGGCATGGAAACCAATTGTGGATGCTGTTCATGAAAAAGGCGGAATCTTTTTCTGTCAAATTTGGCATGTCGGAAGGGTTTCAAATACGGGTATATTATCTGTCCTTTAATTTATGATTGGGTTAAATGTAAGAAACCAGTCCAATTGATTTGTTGCTTTTTCCAGCAATCTAGCCTTCCTCAATATATACAATTGCAATGGTCATTATGTCATCTTTCAACTCCATTTTAAATTCTCGATCTTTTGAACAGGTTTTCAGCCAAATGGACAAGCCCCAATATCTTCCACAGAAAAAGAAATATTTCCTCAATTACGAAGCAATGGCATTGATGTTGCACAATTTTCAACTCCAAGGAAGCTGACTACAGAGGAGATTCCACTTGTTGTTAATGATTTCAGAATTGCTGCAAGAAATGCAATTGAAGCTGGTAAGATGATTACCTTTATATATAAAATGTAACTTTGTTGAAACAAAATGTGCACTGTGCAACCACATTTCATTCAAGAAACAAAATATGCAACATCTTACCTATAACCTGTTTAATCTATTAAAATAAAATGTTAAAAAAAAAAAAAAGTATTGAAACATGGTTGCATAAATTAGCAAAAAATTGAAACATTTTTTGCATAAATTCGTCAAAAATGGTGAAACATTATTAAAAGATGGTAAAACCCTATCAAAAACCGAAGATCATAATTTACATTTTTCTATAACACATAGGTTTTGATGGAATTGAGATCCACGGCGCTCATGGTTACTTGATCGAGCAATTCATAAAAGACCAAGTAAACGACAGGACCGACAGATACGGCGGCTCTTTACAAAATCGTTGTCGATTCGCTCTGGAAATCGTCGAGGCGGTCGTCAACGAGATTGGACCGGACCGAGTCGGTATCCGACTCTCCCCGTTCACGGAGTTCATGGGAGCCGGGGATTCAAATCCAGAAGCTTTAGGTCTTTACATGGTGGAATCTTTGAACAAATATCAGATTATATATTGTCATATGGTGGAACCAAGGTGGAAAGTGGAAGGCGAAAACGTAGAAAGTCCACATAGTCTTGTCCCGATGAGAAAGGCGTTCAAGGGGACGTTTATTTCGGCCGGCGGGTATGAGATGGAAGACGGGAATACGGCGGTGGCGGAGAATCGGACGGATCTTGTTGCTTATGGTCGTTTGTTTTTGGCGAATCCGGATCTGCCGAAACGGTTTGAGATTAGGGCTCCGCTTAATAAGTACATCAGGGAGACATTTTATACCCATCATCCTGTTACTGGGTATACTGATTACCCGTTTCTTGAGACTAAGGTATAAGAAAGGCGCGAATTTACTAAAAATAAGGACTAGCGTGTGTGAAATTATCATTGTTATTTTGAATGGTTATTTAGTTGATGAACCGATGTAGGCAAATAAACGAATATGTACTATGTCGGTGTGACTTTATCATTGTTAAGGTATAGTGGTAAAACCACAGAGAAAGTAAAAGAGAGAAATGTCAAGTGTGTTCTCATTATTATGAACTAATGGTTATATATATATATATAGGTATAGTGGTAAAACCACAGAGAAAGTAAAAGAGAGAAATGTCAAGTGTGTTCTCATTATTATGAACTAATGGTTATATATATATATATATATATATATATATATATATATATATATATATATATATATATATATATATATATATTATATATATATAATATATATATATATTGGTAAAACCACAGAGAAAGTAAAAGAGAGAAATGTCAAGTGTGTTCTCATTATTATGAACTAATGGTTATATATATATATATATATATATATATATATATATATATATATATATATATATATATATATATATATATATATATATATATATATATATATATATATATATATATAGTGGTAAAACCACAGAGAAAGTAAAAGAGAGAAATGTCAAGTGTGTTCTCATTATTATGAACTAATGGTTATATATATATATATATATATATATATATATATATATATATATATATATATATATATATATATATATATATATATATATATATATTCTAGATCAAATAAGAAGGAAATTTTTGGTAGGAATGTATGAAATTTTTTATATGCATATTTTATTAGCAAAAATTGAAATAAATCATTAGATGATTCAAATGTAAGATGATTCACAAGAAAAAATTCCGAAAAAAAACACTTTCATGATTCATTTTTAGATAAATAAAGAAAAAAATTCACTTTTGTAACAATTTTAGTGAATATCATCAAAATCATCATAAAAATGAATCATCGAAATGTTTTTTCGAGATTTTTTTTTTGGTGAATCATATTATTATTGATTCATTTGGTGATTCATATGTTTTTTTGGCCAAAAAAATAAGTCGAAAAAAAATTTTGTTACCTTCCTACCAAAAAAAAATTCTTACCGGATCTATATCATATATATATATATATATATATATATATATATATATATATATATATATAATAAAGAGAGAGAAAGAGAAAGAGTGTCAACAATAAAGTCAACAGATTAACTCTCTAATAAAATCTATAACTAATACACACTTAACTAACAACTAACTAACATCTTAACATCCCCTCAAGCGAAACAACGAAACAGAAGGTAGGATGTGAAGCTTTGATCGAAGATGTATGAATCTTGAAGCAGATAATCCCTTTGTTAGAATGTTTGCAATTTGTCAAACAGTAGGAACATAAAATATTCGTAAACTCTGAGACAACACCATATCCCGAACAAAATGGATATCTATCTCGATATGTTTAGATCTTTGATGAAAAACGAGATTAGCAACGATATATGTGGCTCCAAGATTATCACACCAAAGTGTAGGCGGAGAAGAAACAGACAACTGTAATTCTTGAATTAAAGACATAAGCCATCGGATTTTTGTAGCTATATGAGCAAGAGCCCGATAATCGGCCTCTAGCCACTATATGTTGTTTCTTTGAGCTCCATTTGATAACATTGGAACCAATAAAAACACAAAAACTACTCATGGACCTCCTATCATGTAACATCCCAAGTCAGAATCAAGAGTTCAGGGGGTAAAGTGTAAGTTTGGAAAAGAGGAACTCGGCAAGTGGGAGCTGCAACTCGTCGAGTCTAAGCGTGTGTCGGGAACATGTTAAGTGACCAAACTCGCCGAGTCGGAGGTTGGACTCGACGAGTCCGTGCTGGAATGAGAAACCCTAATTCCTAGGGTTTGCACCCTATTTAAAGAATAATATGCCTTAATTTCAGCCTCTATCTTCCCTGAGTGTTCCAGAGAAACCCTATATCGTGAGAGACTCTTGGAAGAAGAAATTGGTGAAGAAAATTTGAAGGGATTGGAGGATAGCATCAAGAGAGCTTGTGGATCTGCAGTCTACATCAGTTTAGACTCATCTCCAAGGTAAGAGGACCTTACCTTAAGCTATTTCCTTGTTATTTCATCCATGGTGTGTGATTTGGCGTTCTTTAGCATGGTTGGGATCCATTTCGGGTATAGAGACTAGATCTGAGGTTGCAACTTCAGATCTAGGTTGGTTTGGAGCCATGAGATCATAAAGTGATAGCTTTGGGGCGTGATTGAGAGTGTCCTTGCCTTAAACCTTCATTTTTAGCTTGTTGGAGCTTGTTGAGCCTTGCATGCATATAAAGTTGGAAACTTTACGTGTGAAACTGGCCCTAGGAGTCCAGATCTATGTATTGGAAGCAATGGAATGGCTTGTGATCGTATGAATGAAGATGTCACGAATGGACTCGGCAAGTCTAGGAGATGACTCGGCGAGTCGGGCTAAGGATCAGACTTTGAGTCGCGTAGTAACTTGGCGAGTCGCATGGGTGACTCGGCGAGGAGTATGATGATGAGCTTGGACTCGGCGAGTTGGAAGAACAACTCGGCGAGTCTGTTGAAGATTGCCTTGGACTCGGCGAGTATGTTCTTGGACTCGGCGAGTCAGGTCGTGAAGTCCTAATCTTTTTTGGTTGAGCTGTGAATCGGTGAGTCGAGGGATGACTCAGTAAATTGAGCAGGAAGGGACTCAGAGCTTATTAGACTCGACGAGTCTTGGGGAAACTCGGCGAGTTGAGTTGTGGCATGGGAGTTTCTAAGCATAGGAACTCGACAAGTCAACGGGTTGACTCGGCGAGTAGGGTCAACCAGGAAGGTTGACTTTGACTGAGGACTTTGACTTGGACCAAGGGTTAACTAGTTTGACTTCCAAGGTGTAACGCCTGTGTTTTTGGGCTTTCCATTTTTAGCAATGTGATATTCTAGGTTAACCTTTGTAACCCGTTTTGAAATAATATAAGTGTATTGTTTGAGTATTATGTGTTTTGTGCTTAATTGCTTAATTATGTGGTTTGATTAATTAAGAATAAAAATAAGCGTCAAAATTTAAGTGTAAAATAAACTTGATATCTTTAGATAATGTTGCACTAGTTGAAACAAGGTTTCCGAAGATATAAAAAATGCCGAAATCCGATTTATAACGAGGAAGTTATGACCTGTCGAAGTTTCGCGACAGAACCGGCAACGCTGATTAACGTAAAAAGTGAAATTTACGTTAGAGCGATATTTAGCCTTAGTGATCTAAACGAGAATCGAAGATCTCGTTGTTAGTATCAAAGCGATAAAAAGTTAGGCGAGAACGGGCGTCAAATGAAGAAGTTATGAATTTATAACGAAATTTTCTGTCTCGGCCTATTAAAAATAAATAATAAAAATAAAATCAAAATTAGCCGACGGAGTCTAAACGAAAGTTGTAGAGCGTAGTCTCACCTTCACGTGGATATAAAGAACGTCGAAAACGGAGTTCGTATGAAGGAGATATGAATTTTCGAAGTTTATTAAATAATTTATAATTAAATTTAATTATTAAATACCGGCCTTATCCGAAGACGAGTCACCAGACTCATCCAGAGAACGCCCAGCGTACTCGAGTACGCCCCGCGTACAACCAAAGTGTCGACACTTCGGATGACGCATTTCGGAGCCTGTACGCCCAGCGTACAGGCGTACGCCCCGCGTACTCCGAGGCATCAGCCTCCTATAAATAGGATGCGAGGGGTCCGAGTATTCTTGCTAATTTCTTCTCCTCTTTGTTCCGAAGCTCTGCGTTTTTACCCCCGAAGCCACCCTGAAGCCCCGGTATCATTCCCGAGTCCCGAAGCGAGTCCCAAGATCCCAAAGATCCCGAGAAGTGCGGTTTCCGAGCCGAAGCTCTGCCCACGAGAAGTTCGATTTTCGTAGAGATCTTCCAGATCTGCTGAGGATTACGACTTCTGCAAGCCGTAGTGCTGTCCGATCATCTTCTGATCAAGTGAGTGTGTAGTTACTTTCTTCTAACGCATAATTATGAAGTATTTTATACGAAATACGTGTTATGTGTATAGTTTTGTTGTTATGTACGTGAATGTATATTCACTCTCTTTAATCTCATAGATCCGATTTGTTTTCTATGAAATACGTGTTATGTGGGTATGCCTCATCTGTTATGTGGAATATATATTGAATGAAAATGATATACAGGTTTTAAACTATGTATAAAAATGTATATTTTTATCTACTAATATGTTAGGTAGAACATGGGTAGATAGTTGGTGTGTAATAAACAGATGAGAGGCCTCGATGTTGTTGTTGTTGTTGACCTAATTATTCAGCGGAGTATGGATAACGACCATAGACTCCTTCTAGACAGTCTCGTGGAACGCTAGCAGGTTCATAACCTGTAGGTGTTGTGAACGATGTGTTCACCGGTGTACTCTATCCCCCTCATGGTTGCCTTAGGATATCTATTGTTGAGGAAACCCTTGGCTGTAATGTCCGTCCCGATGAAAATCCTAGATTAGGTCCCTTGAGATAGATGTTGTTTTAGGGACGTAAAGTGAGGATAACAGGAATGGGTAATCGGGATAGTGATTGGTTGGTGAAAATAAATATAATTTATTTATTGTGGGTTGAAAACCCTATATGCTCACCAGGCTCCCAAGCCTGACCCACTCAGTTTTATTTGTATTACAGGAAGTGGCGCAAGGGCGTAAGATGGACGAACCATCAATTGTATGCCCCACTTGTGCAAAGACTAATGTAGTAGTCATAAATTGGTGAAAACATTAGGAGATTGGATCAAGACTTACAATAAATTTTATATTGATAATCAGTTAAAATCAATACATGTCTTAAAACTAACCACAAGAAAGAAGGTGATTCAAAGCTAAATGGGAGTGTTTTCATTCTCTTGATTTACAATCATGTTTAATTGTTTGTTTTAGTTTTTAGTTCTTTGAGTAGTTAATTTAAGTTAATTTAAACTTGCAAAATCAGATAAAACCCCTTATTTTAGTTGTTTT